CCAAGTTCAGTGGCAAACAACTTTGCCGAGGAGCTGGGAGAAGAAAAGACAGAAAATAACTACATTAAGTAAAGTGTTTCTCCTCTGATTCAGATTGCTGAGGCTGATATTAGAGCCATTTCAGAAGCAGGCGAGGTGGGCCCAGCAGGGAATGCCTCTGTATAGACACAGCTTCCTACTGAGTCAGGAGAAAAGGGGCAGCAAAGCCCGGTGGTTGAAAGCCTCCAGCCTCTGGGGCAGGGGGGACCAGAGGGGAAGCTGGTTCTGAGACAAAACACTCCCTTACAGCTTTGTGACACTGGGCAAATTATTTTCTTAATCTCACTTTGCATCAGTTTCTATGTTTGAAAGCTGGGTATAGTAGTAAGCCCGATCATAAAATTGTCCAGTGATTGAATTTGAATTCAAATGTGTATTAAATATTATATTTACAAAAATGTATTTCTATCTACAATAATGAGTTTGGATGTCATTCTAAGAGTCCTGCCAAGCTACTGGGGGTTTGAAGTAATGACACAAACACACACAGGCACAAACACACACACACACACACACACACACACACACACACACATACACACTCACACACAGGTACGCACGCACGCACGCATGCACACACTAACTCAGCAATGCCTAGCACATAGTAAGTCCTGGAAAAAAATGTTAAATTGTATAAGGAACCAGTGGGTGGTGCTTTCTATATACAGTAAGGTAAGGTACTCTTGGTAACTCTAAATTCCAGGGAAAAATATCTAAAAGCTATTTCTATTCTACAATGATATTTTTTTCTAGGCTGCCTTGAGGATTATAGTTAGAAGTAGTCCATGCCTTATTATCATTCTCCCCACACATATTTTTGTAAATAATACTACAGTAATTTCCTTAATAAGTCCAACAAATCAGTATAACTTGCTTATTAAGGCCCCTCAGCAGGTTTCAGATGTTAGGGCCTAAAGAAATTTGGAAAGTATCAGAAAAGATGCATTATGAGAAAGTAGCAGTAATGAAGTACTTTCAGGCATGTCCTTTTCAATTGTTAAAAATGATTTATTTGCTTCAAACTCATTCTGACTTGCAGTTTAACAGCCTCAGTGGTCCTTCAATTCCCAAGGCAGTCATTTCTTTGTGTGAGTTTATAGATAGTTAACCGAACCAAGCAATTAAAGAGAGGAAAGCACCTTCTTTTCAACAAAAAAGACTAACCATCCACCTCATATTAACAGATGTGGCCAGCTGTCTGGGATGTAAAATAGTGAGTCAGTGGCTTCTTCTGTAATTGGAGCCTCTGTTCATTGGTTGACCACCAACCACAATAGTAACTTATACAAGGCCTACTCAAGGTTTATATTGTAGTTAGCAAATTCACTAGATAAGACAGCCAGGCAATGATGGGCTTGGAATGCTCCATGTAAGTGAAAGTGGACATATTAAAAATGTTCTGATAAAAGGAATAGGAACCCATTCAATGAGTAATAATACTCATTATTTGTTTTTATATATAATACTAGGGGCCCATTGCAGGAAGATTCCTTCAAGAATAGGGCTTCAGGTGGGCTTCCCTCCCACCACCGCCACCTCTCCCTCCCCCCCTCCTCTGCACTTCCTTCCACCTCTGCTCCCCAACCCCCACCTAACAGGTGGGCTTTATCTCCCACCACTGCAGCCCTCCCACCCTCAACACGTTCCTTCCTGCAGCCTCACCCCCCTGTGCTTTCCCTTCTGCTGCCGCCCCACACTTTTCCACCTCCCACTGCAGCTGCCCATCTGCCCCGCCCCGAGTGAGCTTTCCCTCCCACAGCCACCTTGCTTTTGGCTTTCCCTCCCTCTTCCTTATATGCTATCCTCAGTCTTCTCTCCTCCCTCCCTCAGCATGTGCAAATTAACTGCCATTTTTGTTGGGTTAATTTGCATGCTTGCTCTGATTGGCTGTGGGTGTAGCAAAGGTACAGTCAAATTAGCATTTTTCTTTTATTAGTGTAGATTGCTTCATTTGCTCTTCATAGCTACTCTGAGATTGGACAAGTGCTAATTTTGATTTCCCCTTTGTGGGTACTGGCTCTGGGCAAGGTAATTGCCAATACTTTTGTCTAATTTTTAAAAAATTTAATTTAATCTTTTTCCATCACTTTTTATCTCCCCTATACCTTTTCCACCTCCACTCCCTGCCCCCTCTCCAAATTATTGTATTTCAGAGATTTTTTCAATGATCAGAGAATATACTCTTACTCTAGGATAGAAAATCCATTTTTCAACCATCATCTGACCTGACAGTTATAAAGTAAAATTTTCATTGTAAATATCAATCCAGTTTTCTTCGCTCTCTATTAAAAAGTCAGGAGACTTGGTTTTTTGTACAATTTAACACAAAATAATATACAACAGGACTTTATATGCACTTTTATATTTTTTTCTGTCATGAAAAATCAAGTGATGTCACCTTTGCACCTTAATAAGATGTTCTGAAATATAATTCTGAGAATTAATAATTATACCAAAAACAGGCCCATTTTATTTGTACAATTTAAATTAGTTCTGTGTTCATTTAATTAAAACTCAAATACATGACAGAGGTTGAATACCTTTCTGGTGGTATTCTTCAGTTCTAAGCATCATTATTGAGTTTTAGTATCATAATCCTACTAATTCCAAATCCTGAATGGACTATTTCCCCATAGGTAACATTGCCTATCATTGGGACATATAAAGGGGCCTGGCATACCAATATTTTTTTACTTAGTGGAAAATTGGGAGAGGAGATAGTGGCCTAAAGCTAGAAAATTAGATTGTGGGACATAAAGTGTTTTAGAATATAGGTGAGCTAAAAGAGTTCAGATCTAGTGCTAGTTCTTCGACCATGTGTCTGAGAGAATTTCAACAAGTTGCCAATCCTCCATGGGCCCTTAATTTCCTAGTTTCCAGCAAGTGGGGATGAGACAAAAATTTAGCTGAGAAATCTTTTCTTTTTCTTCAAATTCATCTTAATTAATCCAAATTATTCAAATGTAAGTAAGTGCAAGGAAAACCCTCCTGATTGCTTTAGCAGTAGCTTCATCCTTAAGCCTACTTGTATCATAATATTTCTCCATGTATCATAATATAAAAGTCAGTGGGCTAAATTATTTTCTAGGACACTTCCAGTTATTCATGTATTGAGGTCTGTCTTACAGAAGAAATGATCTAAGTAACTTTAAATTAATACTAATGAGCCAAAAAAGAAAAAGAAAAAATCTCTTCAGGCAAGTATATGAAACATTGTGGTTTTGATTCCGGGTTGTTTTTCCAGAGCAGGACACAAAGGTGATTACTTTCCCAGGTCCTTGTCCAGATCGATTCAAAGAATGAAACAATGGACAAAAGGTGGTAGATGAAAAGGGTGGAATTTTGTTGGAAACAAGCACAGACTCCCACGGAGGGAGAAGATTCTAAGGGGGTAATCCACTCAGTTCTTTTTTCTAAGGTTTATAAAGGCTGCAGGTCTTTGTCTCTTGGTATTCCTTTCTCGTTGGCATTTCTCCATCCTCTGTGAAAGTTCTTTTCCTCCTTCTCCCCATACCCTGTGGCTTTTCCCTATCTTCTGTGGCACCATTTTTTCTTTCTCTCTCTGTGAATGTATGCCTTTTGACATTCCCAAGCCCTCACCTTTGCCTTCCTCTCCCTTTATTTCTAAATCTCCCTAAACCTGCTTATTTTATCCCTAACACTCCTTTCAGTTTGGTGTTTGGTCATTCTGATCAGGAGGGTGTTTATTTGGCACTGTCCTCAGAATGATGGGAAGAGGAGCACCCAGGAATTTTAACAATTTTAAAAGTCAGCATAACCTCATGTACAAGTTCAATGACTCTTAGAATTGTATCAATGACAGAGAGAAGGGATTATGGCCTTTATAATTTAGTGATCATTTCTTTTTATACTTGACGTCTGAGTAGTTTATATAAAGATATGTTTGCTTATATTTTTTGCTCACATAACTTGAACTATTTTTTCTAACCTAGGCTGAACCATAAGCCCCTTTACAGAAAAGGGGAAGATTTAAGACTTCTCTCTTTTCACATACAAATATTTTTTCCTACCCAAACAAAGCCAGGAAGCAAAAATAAACGCCAAAGGGCAACTTTGTCAAGACTAACATTTGCCTCCCACTGTATAGAGGTAAAGCTTTAATTTCTTAGAAGACTAAAAGGGATAATAAAGTGTTTAACATTCAGACAAGTTGAGGAGGTGACAATATTCTAGCTTTAAGAGGATCACTTGGTTTTCTTTGTAATTTTATGAATTCTCAGGACATTGGAGAATGTAGATTCTCTTAGGTATAATGTAGGTATAATGTAGATTAAAAAATGAATGTGGCTGTTTGCAATAAGTCAGAGAGAGACAAATGCTATGTAATATCACTTACATGTGGGATCTAAAACAGCCGAACTCCTAGAAACAGACAAAGCCAGGGGCTTTGGGGTGGGAAAAACTGGGACATGTTGATCAAAAAATACAAGATGAGGAAGTTCTGAATACCTGACGTACAGGTGGGGGTTATAATTACTACTATTGTATTACACATTTGAAAATTGCTAAGAGAGTAGATCTTAAATGTTCTCACCACAAAAAAGAAATCGCATTTATGTGATGTGATTGAGGTCTTAGCTGACACTATGGTGGTTGTGATTTCACAATATAGGTTTCAAATCAACACATTGTGCACCTTAAACAATCTTTCATGTCAAATATATCTCAATTAAGCTAAAAAAATAAGATTGGGGAATTTGCTAAACAAAAAACCAATATGGTTAAAGTGACTTGATACCATGCCCTCGTCTGGAATCTCAAAGCAAATTTACCTCATTCTCTGACCATCCTACAAACATTAGAAACTTTAGAGATGATGCAAAATTTATGATCCTCTCTCTACTACTACTAGTTTACTCTGGACAAAATGTCAGAGCCATATGTTGTGCATTTGTTTCTTGGCCTTATGTGCTGACAATTCATGAACTAAAATATTTCAGATCTTTCAGACAAACATTGCAGCCAAACCTCGGAAGAGTCACCTGCCTTCAGCAATGATCCGCTGAACTTAAGTCAGGCTACCCTAGATTCCTTTCAGACCTCACTTCCCAGAGGCCTCTGTGGAATTAAGGACCTGAGGTAGGTTACATGTAAACATAATGCATAGTGACAATTTGGACAAGCCCCAACTAAATCTCTTCGCTATATGAAGAAAGATTGTCCCCATGTGTGTACTTTATGTGGCTATTCATGTAAAATGTTTGTGTCCTTTGCTGACCTATTATTAGGGATTCAGTAAAAGGTTTGTGAAGGTGTTGCTTTATTATGAAATATGACAATTACTTATGATACCAGTAGCCCTGTGTATGAATCCATGCGTCAGTAGGTCGCTGCCGCCCTCCTGTAACTCTCTGCCCACTGCCCCGCCCTCCTGTAGCTCCCCCCTTCCCTGTGTGTGTGTGTGTCCCCCCCCCCGCCATAGCTTGCTGCCCTGCCCCATCCTGTAGCTTTCTGCCACAGGCTTGTAGTTCGCTGTTCCACCCTCCTGCAGATCTGGTCATTATGTAGTTGGTCCGTATGTCCTGAGGCTAATTAGCATGTTCTTCTCTTATTATATAAGATATAAGTATATAATTCTCTGCTATAAAACATGTCAGAAAAATTAAAAAAATGGAATTCAATAATAGCCCAGCATTTCTTTTTAAATTGAAAGCAGTTGCCTTGCTTTCATGAATTAATCTAATAATTATAATTTTAAATGAATTTTAATACTTTGCATTAGTAGAATCTTACTCAATGTGAATAAAGTATTCAGAATACAATATGAAGAGGTTTCTTTCTTGAAATCAAGTCCATGCTGTTGATGATAGTATAATTCAGTTTATCATTTCACTCTTTCCTCACATAAGGTAAGAGCTTTTAGGAATGGTGGCCAGTTTATAGGAAACATACTAATATACTAATAAATTCTTAAGACATGTAGTTTACCATGTCTCTCTAATATTGATGTACTGGAGCTCCTTATAAAAGGAGGAGGACTTTTCTTAGGTTCATGATAAATATAAACAAAAGTCCCCTGTATTGTAAGTTTCTTTGATTGGTTTGAAGTCTAATATCGCAGTAAAAGGAAAGCAAGAGTGTTGCTCTCTTTTTCTGAAGGAGGAGATAAGTTAGCTGTGGTTCTTGGGTTTTTGCATTTATAACACTAAAAGTTTATTTTTAAAAGGGGTAAGTCTAAAGTTTCTGTACCACCCATCCCCAGAGTAATTAAAAACAAAATAAACCTACCACTTACTGTCACCATATTTCATAAAGTAAAGGACAAATACTAAGACGTAAGGGGAACACATTAACAGAATAAAACACTACGCTTTGAAACTAAGAATGTTACGAAAATGTCATTACCAGTGAAAATTTTTATTCACAGTAAGATCTGCACTGGTTCACAGTTGAGAGTGTAGGCGCTGCTATTTTGCCAGTGTTGGACATTAAAAAAAAAATCCAAAGAATAGTTATATCCATCAGGGAATGTTATGCAAGTATTTTATACTTGGTGCCATACATGGACTGAGAATTGAGATAATTTAAACCAAAACATATGAGTGATGGAGGCCCCCCACTGTTCCCCACTCTACCTCTTTTCAAACCCTGGAACCTTCCACACTGGAGCCTCCAACAGAGCTTCTTCTCCACAATAAAACACAATGAAATAAATTAACTCAATAATTATTGTCATTAATTCTGGTGTTGGCATACCTTGACTGGCTATCCACATAGTCCTAATTGACTGTACACAAAAGAGTTGATTTATCCGGCAGTCTACATTCATTGGGATTCTATTAAACAGCCAATGTAATGATGAATGTCCTTAATGTTGACCCTGAGGCTCACAGCAAGTTTCTGAAGTGCCTTCTGAATCATCAGTGAAAGACATAGTCAGAGACTGTAAAACCTTCGCTTTGGTACCACTGTGGCTTTATTTCTTGGGAGAGGGAACATGATGAGAATATCTCATTAAAAGGAGGCTTGGTATATTGGGTATGTTGAAAATTACGGCCGCAGTCTGAGGCGGCCCCCTCACATCTGCCTGCCTCCAGCGACTTCTACGTATGTAGTATTGATCAGAAGATAAATGAAGAGTTCAAACCTGGTTCTGTATATAGTGTATTGATCTCTTAATGTATTTCCAGCTTTTCTGAAAATGATACTGAAATTCAGTCTTTCCTGACACTTTCTGAAAGCAGCATGGACGAGGAGGAAAAGGACTTCCTTGACAAGGAATATGTCATCATACTACCATGGCAGAAGAATACCTAAAGATCATTTGTTCATTACCTGCTACTCTTTGTACCCAAAGTAATTGGAAGAAAAAGTTAACAACTAATAAAAGTAATCAAGCAATTACTTCTCTGGTGCTGGAGATTTTCTTTAATGTTTCTGATATTTCAAGGTTTTCAGACTACTAAAAGCTAGTAAAATGAAAAGTTTAAGGACTTTTTCTTCCAAATAATATATTGTGTTTCAAACAATAATCTATATTGCAGATCACATTAATAAAATTTGGTGAGTTTAAAATAATAACTGGTGTAACTCAGTGGTTGACCATCAACCTATGAACCAGGAGGTTGTGGTTGATTTCTGTTAGGGCACACGCCCAGGTTTTGTGCTTAATCCCCAGTGAAGGGCCTGCAGTAGGTAGCTAATCAATGATTCTCTCTCATCATTGATGTTTCTATCTCTCCCTCTCCATTCCTCTTTGAAATCAGTATATATATATATATATATATATATATATATATATATATATATACACACACACACACATATTAGTGGCCCCATGCACAAAATTCATGCAAAAGTAGGCCTTCTTCTGGCCTCCTGCACCAGCTTTTCTCTGGCACCTGGGACCTGGGCTTCCCTGGCAGCCCGGCTTCATCCAGAAAGTCATCTGGAAGGACATCTGGGCTAATTGGCATATTACACTTTTATTATTATAGATAACAGTTAAATCTGTGTTTATAGAACCTACCATAGACTACAACCTAATTACATTTAAAGTAATATTTAATTGTCAAATTATATTTTAAGTAGTTATGTCATCAGTAAGAGTATACACTTGACAGCCAGGTAATGCTTGGCAGTATTATGAAGTGTGTCTGAAATCCATTTTTTTTTTACATTGATAATAATAGGTGCTTTTTTGTTTTATTCTGTTAGTGCTTTGGCATTTATAGAAGTTCTGATAGCTTCAAAGTTGCTGCTAGAAAACAAAACAAAAAAAGGGACCCCAACTAAAGTGGAAATACTAGTTTGTTCTTTGTTCTAGTAAAACACAAAGAAAAGGTCCCCAAAGCATCTTATTTTAGGAGGGCCAGGGCCAGTGTGATGGGTAATTTTATATGTCAACTTGGCCTGGCCATATTACCCAGATATTTGGTCAAACCTTATTCTAGCTGTTTCTACAAAGGCATTTTTAGATGAGATTAACAATTAAAATTAAAACAGTAGTCTTTGAATAAAACAGATTAATTTCCAGTCTCATGCAATCAGTTTAAAAGCCTTAAGAGAAGAAAGGCTGATGTCCTTCAAGGAAGAGGGAATTTTGCCTTTAGATTTCCTCCAGACTCGGGTTGCAGCATCAACTCTTCCTTGAGTCTCCAGACTGCCAACCTGCCATGCAGATTTTGGATTTGCCAGACTCCATAATTGATTCTTTTTCTCTGGAGAACTAATTACTACAATCTAATTACTACAATCACTTTGAAAGACTGTGATGATAGCCAATGAAAATAGCAGTTATTGGGTTGGTGGGTGTTCAACATTTTATAGAAACTTAGAATTCAGGTGCTCAAGAGCAGACGACTATGTGGAGAGAGAGTTTTATGGACTTTTTTTAGGATGGCTTCTCTTTAAGGTGTTTGTGGATTTATCAGAAAAATATCCCTGCAGGTTGGTTGTGCCATCATTTTGTCTTCTCAGTGATTCTGGATAGTAAACCCTTACACAAGACAGATGGTTTTTGAGTGTAAATTCATCTTTGATACTCTTTCCACAGCATCAATAAATTGTACTGACATTCACACACATCATTTGCTGAAAGGATAGAAAATGATGAAGAAACCTATAGCCATTTGTGTGTCTTTCAATCTAAAAATGCCCTTTATTAAAAGTGATTAACATAAATGAACAATAAGAAATCAGCAGTTAATCATACTATCAGAATACATTTTTTCACAAAAGAAATATCTTAACATTAAAAGTGTGACTCTCCAGTATTTTTACTATCTCCTAAGCACTTCTTCTATCATAATCCTGTAGAGACAACAGGGAGTCACCCTCGAATCTTCATCATTTGTCTCAGAGCCCTTCTGGCATCTTGTCCCGAGGCTGCTAGCTTTCTGAATTATCAGTAGCTAAAATGGGGATTGCCTGTTCACATATGTTATTTTTCTTTTTAGCATGTTCGCTCAGGTTTAGCGTCTCTTGACTCTCCCTACACTCCTTTGCTCTGAGACAACATCATCCTTATCATTCTGATGAAGAAAATTGTTCCTCTGGATGCAATTTATAAAACCCATGTTTTTCTCAGATGGAGCAGAAGGAGATGTTTTCCTATTCTCATTAGGGAAGAGGACCACTAGTATTCTTTCTGTGTTTTTCACTCATAGCTTGAGTCATTTATGAACTAGCTCAGACATTTTGTAAGATGACATTGCCTTTTACAATCTAAGAATTTTAAAATAAGAAATTAAGCTGATAATTAGTTATTATCAGTGCATTTCTGGCCAGAATGTGAGATAAAGAGTGGACCATTGACATTGTCATTTAACTTGCAATATGGTATTGAAATGAAACATGAGAGTCCTCTGTGCAGAGCAGATCAGACCTCCTTCTGTCTTTATTTGCTTCCCATAACCACACATTTAGAAAAGTTCCTTAATTCCTTTGCCATTAGACTAATGAGGAAATAAAAACTAAATAAGATTAGAGCCTGTGCCTGAAGCAGCTGCGATGTGTTCTCTCATTTTGAAGCTCAAGTTTAAAATTGCTGTGTAAGGCATGCATCTAGTTCTGACTAGGGAATTGAGTTACAGGCATTCTAGGTACATCACGGTCATGTTCCTGTTACTAGAGTTAGTAGGGTGTGCCTCTCACAACTATTAGACAAACAATCACATGATATTATATGCATGTTGGCAGCTAGTAGTTTGTGCTCAGATCTGCCTGTGGTGTAATAGACATATTAAATTCTGTAATTTTACAGTTCTAGACATACACATGGTGAAAACAAACTGACATTAAATTATATTTAACTAGGGGCTCAGTGCACAAATTCATGCATCTTGAAAGAAACTATGGTCCATGATGCTGTGGTGGGCATGGGGGTAGGTCTCAACCCATTCTCAATATCCCCACCTGGCCCCTCCTGCCATGGCCCCCAGTCCAATATCTGCAGGCAGTCCCACTTCTGCTGCCATTGCTCCAACATGTTGGCCCTGTTCACACCCACTGATGGCATGGAGCAATTTGTGTCTGCCAGCAGCAGGTGGGAGCAGTGGCTGCTGCCCTGATTGCCCCTCAGGAGCAGTGGAAGGTGGAGAAGCCCTCAGAGGCAACTGAGGCAGGTAGCCACCACTCCCATCCACTGACAGTGCCAGGCACCTGCAGCAGGTGCAAGCAGTGACTCCAGCACTGGCTGTGAATGCAAGTGTGGTCAGCGCTGGGAGCAGATGTGGGCATCAGCAGCAGGTGTGAGCACCGGGCAGGACCACGGCACAACCGAGTGAATAATTTTCAGTAACCACCAGAGGCTTGCCCTGATGACAGTGACTAATGCCCCTGCCTTGGTGTGGCACCCCCACTCAACTGCTCCACCATTCTGCTGTGGCCAATACATGCCATGTTCCGGGCATGCCTCCTGGAGGTCAGAAGATGTCATTGTGACTGGTTGTTTGGTTGTCCCACCATTTTGTCTATTTGCATATTAGGGTTTTATATAGATGATGATGATGATGATAGATAGATAGATAGATAGATAGATAGACAATAGATAGATGATAGATAGATAGTTTTAATCTGTTTGATATTTGTTGAAGTCCTTCACATCCAGTCCTTCACATCTGGTGTGTCACATAACACAGGTCAAGGGTACACTACCCTTAATACCACTTACTGTTGTACCTTATCTGTGTGGCAGAAAAGTGTTTTTGAACAAATGAATGTTACAAAATGATTCAGATACTTTAAAAAACACCTTGATTTGTTAAACAAACAAACAAACAAACAAGAAAACAAACACACTTCTCCCTGTCCCTATGATTCAGTTGTTGGAAAGATCTTGAGCTATGTCTGTCTCATCTTGTTTTTGGCTACCTACTATTTCTCTAAAGTTTAAAAATATACCTACTCAATGAGACTTTCTCTACTTTCTATTTCAATTCTTTTGTCCTTTTCCCATTATTTATTTATTTATTTTTATTATTTATTTTTAAAAATATATATATTTTATTGATATTTTACAGAGAGGAAGGGAGAGAGATAGAGAGCTAGAAATGTCGATGAGAGAGAAACATCAACCAGCTGCCTCTTGCACACCCCCTACCAGGGATGTGCCCGCAACCAAGGTACATGCCCTTGACCAGAATCGAACCCGGGACCTTTCAGTCTACAGACTGACGTTCTACCACTGAGCCAAACCTGTTTCGGCCTTTTCCCATTTTTTAAATGGTATCCTACTTTTCCCTTCATCGTACCTATAATTATTAATGTGTCTATTTCTTGAACATATGTCTCCCAATTAGACTACGCATTTCAATAGAGCATTTGTTATGTTTCTTTTGTTCACTATAATACACTTAGCCTCTTAACATAATCCTAATGTAGACTGGGTGATGATTAGTGGTAAATGAATGAATGATCAGGACCTAACTGATAAGTCCCTAACTTTTCCCAGGGGAAGGGAGCATGATGTGCTAGTATGTAGAAGAAGAAACAGAGTTGATCAGCTTATACTATTTATTAACTGGCAGATCACTAAAAATATACTGACATTACATAGCTCAAAAGAAGGGGTGAGAATCAAAAGCAGTAATGATATGAAACTTTTTAGGCACTGGAACATGCTATGCAATGTTTATTATCACTTTTTATGAATTGAGGCTACAGTCATTGAATATAGAGGCAAATTAATAAATGGGTCAGTTAGTGAATTCAGGATCAAGTTGACATAAATGATTCACAGAAATCACCGAATATAAAAAACAGATAATGTTTTTAATGAGTAGGGTGATTAGATTGATTGATATATAACACTTATG